TAATTTGTATTTCAATTAAGATGTATCATGTATTTTGCCCAGCCCTGGCTGCGGTTCTCGAGATTAAAAAAATGGTGTCGGCAGTCTGCCGGAATAAGCTTATTTCAGCAGTACTGTATGCATACACATGCATACGTCGTTATAATTTCAAAAAGGCATGAAGACTTAATCGTATTCCAGAACTCGACTCAATGCTGAAGTCAGGGCTAGAGCAGACTTGAGTATGATTTCAAGCACTGGAAATACGACCCTAATAGCAAGGACTTGAGTATGATTTCTAGTGCGTTAAATCATACCCAAGTCCTGACTGGAGCATTCTGGAATACGATGGAGAGTTCTGAAATACGACCCTTAGGGTCGTATTCTAGAACTCTACTCAATGCTCAAGTCTATAACTTTGAAACAGTGAACCCGCTAAATCTACTTATTGCGACCATGACAAAAAATGTTTTAATCGACTAATAAATTTTCATTGATTTCAAAAATTCGACATTGGTCTCGTTGAAATAAAGGACGCGCCTTTAGCACGCTACAAAGAGTACATTATACAGCGTGTCCCAAAATTCAACGATAAGCGGGCGCTGGAGGGTGGACCTGCGCATAACTACTTGAGGAAAAATAAGAAAAAAAATTTATATCATTTTTTTTTAAATTACGATAAAAAAATTGTTATTCTTCGAAAATTTACTCCCTTAATGATATTTTAAATCACCACGACCACAATTTTTCAGATATTTCTGATGTTTTTATCTTAACGGCAACCTAAGTAGTACTGCTGTCTACCACAACTCTTAAAATTCCCAGAATGCCTGCAATTTTACAAAAAAATCCATCAAAATATTTTTTTTCCTTGAAGTTTTGAAATATTTTTACCTTCAGTCGACTTTCACTCATCGTTTTGTAAAAAAAAGTACGGACACCACTGCGGCAAGTATTTTTAAAAATTGACGCAACTCACCAAGATTCCAAAATGGTATAATACTTTAAGAGAACTAGGCGCAAAAAAATATTGGTACCATTTCTAAGAAAGACTAAATTTCATTTGATTATTGTTCTTATTCATAATAATCACTTTCACTATGTGCCGAAAAAAGATTATTTGATGCAATTTCTTGGAATTTCAATGGCACATGTGCGTAGTCGATACAATTTAGAAATTAGAGAGAGAAAGATAGCGAGAGATATACGTTAGAAAGAGATATGTCAAACACCGTCGCGTAAACAAGTCTGCAGTCTGCGAGCATGTCATGGATAAACCTACACATTCAATGAAGTTTGACAAACCCCAGGTCCTTGCAAAAGAAGTCCGTTATCTACCCAGGATGCTGCGAGAGGCCATTGAAATTAAAAAACATCCTAATTTCAACAGGGAAGATGGTTTCTCCGTACCACCAGTTTGGGATCCAGTATTTCCTCTAATGAAAAATCCCAAACAGACATAAGACTGCAGTACTAATTAATATGTTTTAGTTTATTCTAATTTCTATTAATAATTAATAATAAATTAAACTTAATAAAAAATTCATTCAATAAAATAATTTGTAAAACTTAATGTAGCGTAAATTGGAATGTTTCTTTGTAAAATTAAAAATAAGGTATTTAATTAATAACTATTGTAACTATAGTGAAAAAATAGGGTGGTTTGCATTAATATTAGACATAACTGGTTGAAGACTGTACCACCACAGTCAACCGTGACCATGGGACCTGTAAAGGGCCCGAAACGTCGGTTTGTTTGAAAAAACAAATATACGCGATTTAAATCCGGAAAAATAGTTTCATTTCCTATGTGTAACAATCGCGAAAACCTAAGAACTCGATTATAGTAAATGTTCAAATTGTTTGCCACCAGCATTAATACATGCACGACATCGCCTTAAAAATGATCGTTTTATCTGTCGTGCATATCTTCTACCGTTGATATGAGCCGCAGCTTGATTGACTTTTTGCCGAAGCTCGTCCAATGTTGTGATGGGTTTTGCGTAAATCCTGTCTTTGAGACAACCCCAATAGAAGAAATCCAGGGGGTTTAGGTCGGGTGAACGGGGTGGCCATAAGATAGGACCAAGTCGCCCGATCCAACGCCCAGGATATTCTTGGTTTAAGTATTCTCGCACAGGACGGGCGTAGTGAGCTGGGCAACCATCATTTTGAAACCACATGTTTTGTTCACTTAAGGGGATGTCTTCTAATAATTCTTGCAAATCATTTTGTAAAAAGTTCAAATAACTATCACCATCTAAGTTTCCTTGTAACTCAAAGGGCCCAATCACTTTTCCATTTAATATGCCTGTCCATAGGTTAACCTTGAATTGATATTGGGATTTGTCTTGTCTCATCAGGTGCAGATTTTCATTGCTCCAACTATGTAAATTGTGAAGATTTAAATAGCCATCTTTCTTGCAGGTTGTTTCGTCCGTCCATAGAACTTGGTCTAGGAACTGGGGATCTTCCCGGTGTTTTTGCAGCATCACACGGCAAAATGCGATCCGTAGTGGATAGTCCCGAGGCAATAACGTCTGCACTCGCCTATAGTGATATGGGTGGAGCTTGTGACGTTTCAGAATTCGATGTGCCGTACTTTTTGGGATTCCCGTAGCTGCTTCTATGGTACGTACTGAGGTAGTTGCATCAATGTTTATTTCATTGAGAACTTCTTCATCGCATTCCGATTTCGGTCTTCCAGCGTTTCTTCTGGCAGATGGAAAATGACCCTCCGAAAACGCTCGATGCACATTCAAAAATACTCGATAATCCGGGTATCTTTCAGTGTTTGGGTACCTTTCTCGATACAATCTGCTGGCAGCGTTAGCATTGCACCGACATTCTCCATAAATGAAGTGCATGTTAGCGTATTCCACCGGTGTGTATGGTAGCGGCATGATAAACGATAATCAGTTCAAAATACGCCAAAACTCCAATTCACAGTCCAAAGTGATGCCAGGTCAATTTAGTTTGCAGATCACTTAAATCCAGTCCAATAAGCCAAGCCAAAAGTCGTTAGTACGAGAGCTACGTCAATTGATTACGGAAAGGTGCGCAGTAAACAAAGGAGCAGAGCGTACTGACTTGCTGAGCACCGGAACTTCTCTACCTGCGTTATTGCTATTCAACAAAGGACATCTATCTATCTCTTTCTAACGTATATCTCTCGGTATTTTTCTCTCTCTCTAATTTCTAAATTGTATCGACTACGCACACGTGCCATTGAAATTCCAAGAAATTGCAACACATAACCTTTTTTCGGCACATAGTAAAAGTGATTATTATGAACAAGAACAATAATCAAGAATTTTAATCTTTCTGAGAAATGGTACCAATATTTTTGGCGCCTAGTTTTATTAAAGTATTATACCATTTTGGAATCTTGGACACCACTGCGGCAAGTTTTTTTAAAAATCGACGCACGATTTTTAAAAAAACTTGCCGCAGTGGTGTCCTTACTTTTTTTTACAAAACGATGAGTGAAAGTCGACTGAAGGTAAAAATATTTCAAAATTTTAAGGAAAAAAAATATTTTGATGGATTTTTGTGTAAAACTGCAGGCATTCTAGGGTTTTTAAGAGTTGTGGTAGACAGCAGTACTACTTAGGTGGCCGTTAAAATTAAAACATCAGAAATATCTGAAAAAATGTGGTCGTGGTGATTCAAAATATCATTAAGGGAGTAAATTTTCGAAGAATAACAATTTTTTTATCGTAATTGAAAAAAAAAATGAGATAGATTTTTTTTCTTATTTTTCCTCAAGTAGTTATGCGCAGGTCCACCCTCCAGCGCCCGCTTATCGTT